CAGACCTATTTTCGCAAGTACTTTTTTACTGTGTTAAAAGCAATCACAGAAAATTGTCTATCCAGTTGTTACGATCGTTACTCTCAGTTAAATTTAATGTAACCACCTGTTATTTTTAAAGAAGTAAGCTTTCAAAACGGCAATTATGCCAAAGTAACATATATATATAGAATTTTATTTTTTTAAATGTAAACTATAAAGTTACAACTGTCCGCCAGTAACGAGGAAGTTGCCGTCGTTTAAATTTTAAACTTCAGTGACGAGAAAAAGACGAGCACTCGATCAATTAAGCACTCTGACACTCGAACTATTAACCAATTGAACTAAGGAATATTCAGTTTTTAGAGAAGGAGCAATCGGAATAGTTGAAAGACAATTAATCAGACGATGCTCTAGAGACTGCATGATACGGCAACGGTGTTGACAAACATACTTCTGGAGAAGGAAGGCAGAAAAGAAAAAATGACAGAAATAGGAGATTAGTGAATAGATGACGAACGGTAGTCTCCACCCAAAGGGACCAAGAATGCTTCCACCCCTTCTTCTCCACTATGGTGGCGATGATGGATCATTTATTATTTACTGTGTTGGAACTGTGGTGCTGTCAAAGGCATTGGGGACGTCGATGAGTCCCAACCAAACAGCAGAGGATCTTGGCACGAAAGCTAATATCTATACGTCATCAATTACCGTATCTCTTCTCTGGATGTCTCTGCAACCTGCGGCTACCAAAAGTATGCAATAACACTGTCTCCTGTATGATAACTCACCATACTAAAACAAAGCAGACAACCACCTCTTCCTATCTGTCACACAATGCGAATTTTCTTTCTTTTTTATCTACGCTTTTATTTAAAAAGTATCGATTAAAATATAAATTTATAGCTCTTTTTAAATTTTTTTTTCAGTTAATCTAAATTAATTCTAAAGTTAGAACCTTCTCCAGCCGGGGTTGATTTATAAAAGGCAGGCAGCAAACTCGGCTGTATCCTAAGTCAACACAAAACAAGTATCGAGGAAAAACGGTCATAAAATGGAACTAATTTTCCGATTAGAAGTCAACTTAATGGATAAGTACTCTACCGTTGATGGGACTATGCTAAAGAAGCATCTCCCCCTTTTTACTTTGTAGTCAAGAGAAACAGCGGGAGGGAAAAAAACAACCTGATTGGAACTGGGTAAAGTTTCGAAACTTTTTTACTTTCTCTTCATTGATTACTCAAAGGTAACAGCAGAAACTTTTGCGACGAAAAATAACGTACAGTATACCCAGCTCTAGCTAAACAAAAGAGTAATTGAGACAAGTGTTGATAGTCAAACTCTGATGTCTTTTACTTTTCTAATTCCTTTTAAACTTAATAATCATTAAATTTAAAAGATTTATTAAACTTTTAAATGTATAGAATTTAGAAAAAGTGGGCAATAAAAGTTAAGAAAGAAAGTTAGTTGTCGAGCGCTTCATCATAGGTAATCCTATCCAAGTCTAACCAAGACATTGGCGTAAAGATAATCTATCGTTTCGCACCACAGAGAGACTAGTCAATAAATGGTGAACCACAAGGTAAGTGTTATCATCAGTAGCACACAACCCATCCTGTGCAACGATACAAATGGACAGGCGAACTGAAGGGATTAGTCCAGCATGTGCCATTCATAATGATGGCAGGAACCAGCCTTGGCTGGGTATTAGTACACAAAACTGATCACCTCTAAGGGATATACAGTGGACTAGACAGCTGGCGATAAGAACTAGCAGGAAGAGAAACGAAATAACGCACTTTCTACCAATGGGAGCGTGTGACTAAGTTGACTGTCATCCCTTCTTTGTTCGCAGCCATAAATTGAGGAGATTGATCTGAATACCATCGATATGGAGGAACTAAGTTCATAAGTTAGCCGTTTGGTATGTTGGCTATTCTCGACGTATCAATTTTGAAAATCTACTTTTAAATATTTAAACAGTATTTCTTCTCTTCTTATACTTTTATTCCGGCTTAATATGCGGCCGAATAGAGCAGAGGGATGGAGTAAGAGTAAGAAAACAATTGAAAAATGGCAGCAATTATCCTGACAGATAAAATCATGACGTCATATATAAATTTTTCTGTTTTCTGGATCGAGACGCAACAAGGATAGAATCGAGTTAAATAGCATCTTTTTTCCTTTCCCCACGCACTTCTCTCCCAAGGGGTGCTTCATGACGGGATGGGGAGAGCGCTATGCAAACGTGCAGACTTCGGCAGTGCATGAACTGGATGTGAAATCCATGTCAACGTCTGCAGCCGTTGTTTATTTAGTACAGGAGCACCGGTGTCAAGAGCTTTTATAAAGCTTTTCATATTGTTGGGTCGGAGAGCTATGAAAAGGGATTGGTTGATATCAGTAAGTCAACAGAATTTTCGCCCCCTTTCCGGATGAAATGAAGCTAGTGGAATTGACTGGAACCGTCATAGGATAAAAGTAATGTTAAATTGAATTCTTGGCAACATCAAAGGTCAAGTCGCTCCGAGGAACTCTCTCGCCTCGTTAATGCCTTGCAGTTTTCTGTAAATGCATCTGTTTTGTTTCTCCACTCTTCGCCACGCTGTTAATATTAGACTTTAAAGATCGAGTGTTTATTTGGATGACTATCATTTTCCGTCACTTTAATATCAACAAGCTTCTTTGTTCTGGCAGAAAATGAAGACAATTATTACTCGGCTTTAATTAAAGAAATCAACTTCTGCATCCTCGCACCAACTTAATTAGAGATAAAAGTTGGACGAGTTCAATTTTATAATCAAATATTTTACTTTATGGATTAGTCGGGCAGACAGTTTAATCTACTTTGACACGGAGGCTTTATTTTTATAAAAGAAAACTAGAACCTTGCCATTAATTCTAGTTATGATGCGGAACCAGTCGATAGATAATTCACTAAGGCCGCACTATACCGTTGCCAAACAAATCTATTTTACTCGCATTCGATATGGCTGATTTTTTCTAGTTGTGCAAATCTCGCCGAGATCAATCAAAAACTTTAACAGTTGTCCTCACCAACAGGTAACCCCCTCTGATCTGGTTTTCGTGTACGTTTGTAGCAACAAAGATTACAGAATTGTTACTTGGGCGCTGGAAGAAGTACGCAGTCTTACCAAAGCACCATTACTCTACGGATGAAATGGTTTGAGGGATCACCGAAAAAACATCATCCGTTTTAGGATAATTGTGTTGGGGTGGTAGAAGAGGACTTATAGGGACCAGGAGTATATTACCTTCAGTGATACGGTCTATACCTTCTCACCGTCTCGGGACACTAGAGGTTTGACAGGGTTGTGTCTGATGAAAGCAATCAATCATAGTTTTTTCTCGCCTTTTCTTCTCTTTCTCCACTCCATACTACTTTTATGTGCTTTGGTTTGATCTGAACTCTTGTTCTAACCAGAGATAAAATATACTTGGGGTCAGCCTTCGAATCATCTCTAAACGGGACTAAACGTAATAGTAATAAATTGAATATTCTTCACTTTTACCGTATCCTTTGTTGTGTCTCGTATTCTTCTACAGTATCCGGCTTAGTGTATAAATATAATGTAATATAAAAATGATAAAGGTGCGGGAGGGGAAGCGCGGCAGAGAATTAACATTCGTTTGGGATGCAAACAAGTCCGGAACATAGAGGGTCCCGAGAGGGCATTACATGAAAGCTGTGTCATGCCATGTCCAATTCGCAACGTACACTGACTACATTTAAAAGGTCGTAGCTCGACACATATCAGTCTCTCTCCTTCAGTCAATACAAACATTGTAAGTCGCTAGTTAATGATACTTTATACGGTTGGGCTCACGTGAAAATACCATCTGCTTTGTGACAAGTGATGCGTGAAAATGGGAGCAGTCGGATATACGCATGTGCAAGATCCCATCATCATCATATAAGTGTGGGGTGTCACCTCATCCTTCCTTCATAGCCCGTTAATGAAAATGTCCGAGTCAATCAATGAGGTGCTAGTAATTTGTTTTAAAATCCATCCCGGCAAATGTTGTTGTCACCTGTGAGGAAATGGTGTTTTGATGACTTGGATATTGCAGTCTTGAATATTTAATCCTAAACGTTGACTAAACTGACATCATCGGATTTGTCGCCTGGATGTTGTCCATTTGTCCTAACGTTGGTGTAGTTAGTCACCTCCCCAGACACAATTACAGCTAATTTCTTATTGATCGTGCCACTAATGTTAAAGTTTGCAATAGGTTAATGAAGATTCGTCTTATATCAAGTTCACTTTTAAATATTTATTGGCTTTCAGTTGAGAAATTAAAGAGACAGTTTAGCAAGTGTTTGATTTGTGTCTGCTAATTTATACAATCTTATAGCTGATAGGAGTCTTAGCACGATTAAGACTGTCATAGTTCAATATTCTACAAATTTTGATGATAATTACGTCCGGCCTCATTCATTTTCTTATCGAATATTTCTTAATCGATGTTTTATTATTGCAAGATAACTTCTACCTGCTACAAACACTTAAAGATAATTAAAAACGGGATTAAGGGATCTAACTGAAATTATCGTTCATAACTTTCCAGCTTATCTTCTCACTTTTTCTCTCTTTATTACCAATAAACTTCCACTCCTACACACTCAAAACTCATTACAATTTTTTTTATATGTAAAAATATTATTTTCAATTAATTACGTCTATATTCATTTTTTATATAATATAATTTAATGTTTCTTTCTACGAAAAGTGAAAAATAATCCGAACTCTCGTGGAGAAACTTTAAAAGTTTGATGTTTACAGCTCGCTAATTAAAAAGGTTAATTATAATTAATGAAGATTAACAAGATTTGTCCATTTTTGATTGATTTTGTCGTAGTTGAACAATAATTAATTTTAATTAATTAAGTTTTTTTTTTTAATTTATAAACATTTTTTCTTCTTGTAAAGTGAATTTGTTTTTCTACTGTAAGAAAAAAGAACTAAACTATTTTGCTAATAAAATGTTTTATTTCTTAGATAATATCTTGATGAATGACTAAAGAAGCAGTTCCGAACTAAAATATGCAAATTTTCAAACATCTTTGATCAGGTAAGCAAGCATCTTTGTTATCTGAAGTAAGAAAATCTTCCCACTCAATTTACAACCTTTATAAATTATTAAAACTAATAACGAACGAAATTACTTCTTATTAAATATTTAATATTATTTAACTCCATTTCTAATTCCAATAAAACAATTAGGTAATTTTGAAACATCCATAATTAACGAACAATAACGTATTTTCGCATTATTGCTTCATCTTTCCTTAAAATGCTCAGACTTTAAAAATTGATGGAGGATAAGAGGGATGAATTTCGATCAAATATGCTAAACTGCTATGCAGATAATGATGATGTGGATGTGTTGAAGCAAGAAGAAAGAAGCTAATTTATGATGATCGAAATTACACGCATCCTAAGATATATATATATATTTGGAGAGACAATTCTTATATTTGTGCTATTCCTGACAGAGGAGCTGCTGGAGGATGTTTGGCTTGCAGTTACGAACGTAGCGAAGAACACTGTTTATATATATTTATACATAGCTTTTTGTCAAGAGAAATTTTCTTTACGATTGTGATGATGATAAATTTCTTAACATATACAAATAAAGAGCCATATAATATAGATAACAATTATAATCAGGGCTTATATGTAAAGTACCGCGTTTATGCCAGACTTATCCAGATCCCCACGATGATATCTCTCGAACGAGATGATTCAATACGTTATATACGAAGATTTATATCACGCAGGGTATTTAGCATAGGATTTTTCAATAGATCCAGATTAAAAATGAAGAGATTTTGGCAATTGTATAAAAATACAGGGATTTTTATCATTTTATAATCTATACTTTAATGATGTAGCGTATCATTTTGCAAGGAATCTCGAATATTCTCGCGTACTATTATTGTTAATATATTAATTAAAATTTAAAAAAAATTAGATTATTTAGAAGAAAATTAGTTTAAATAAACAATATCAACTCTTACAATTTAAAACAGGGGTAAATTTCATTTTAAAATAATTAAAAAAAACGAATTTAATTTTGTTTCTCCAAGCGATTTTTGAAAGGAGGATGCGGATGGAAACTAAATTTCGGTATTATTTAGAAGTGTAAGGTTAAGAAAACTGTTTATATTTATTGGATGAACCGATTCAGCTGGTTTCTATATAGAACAAAACAAAGCTAGTGAAGATAACCGATCGTTGTATGTAAGAGAAATGGCAACACTTCTAAGTCTCGGTAGAAAGGGCCAGATGAAATATATCCTCGTATATAACTCTATGATGGACCTGTTAAGCGAATATTTTAGAAAAATCTGGCACGAAAAACAATGATTGTAGAAATGTTTAGAAAAACAAAATGCACAAACGTCGCCAAATTAAATGGAATAAAAAAACGTATGTCAATTATTTGTTCAACGTTTAAGTTTGAATAAAATATTTGTATATATAAAAAATTTAATTAAAAAGTGTTTGCGAAATGTGTGGCGCGCTTACGGAATTAATTTTAACTCATATCCATCTTTATTAATAGTAGAATTCGTTAGCATTAGCGTTGGAGCGAGTAATCTTCAACGAGAGGGATAAGGGATTTGACGTCATTGGTAGTAAGATATATCCTTAAGTTGAAACTGTTAGAGGAATCAGAGTCAGGTCAACTGGACAGCTGTGCACAGAATTCTCGTCAACTGGCAATGTGTCCCTCAGTGGTCATTTCAGCGACGCCGAAATCTGGTATCGCTATTATTCGCCATTGGTTTGCTCCATTCAATTCAGTGCGGGACTCCACATAGCATCCCGGTCATGATTTAATGGGAGATCTCGCTCTACGTGTAATCCCGCCATGGACATGAAGCTTCGTCGAGTGCTTGGTATTTACATTGCTTCCTACTTTCAAACCAAACAGTTTCAACTTCTTAATCTTCCCTTCGACCACGGGATTGTGCGAGAAGTTGGCCAGTTGTTTACCGTCCCGCTCAGGTGTAAATAATGATAATGTCGGCTACACTTTTTATTTATTAATGTAGTAAACGATATATTTTATTCATGTTTAATTTAACTGTTATTTATTATTCTATATTCCCCGAAGGATTGGCTGATAAAAGTAAGAAAGGAACTTCGTTATAAGACTCTTATAGATTATCGTCAGAAATATGAGCTCTGGGAGCCGGATCTGCTACTGGCCACAACACACAGCCTCTTTTCTACTAAGACCAGAATTAAGGTGTTATCCAGTTGCATTCCCACTAGCCGTTTCCACTAATGAAGAGCCGTACTAATTGCACTCCCCAATGTCTGAGGGAGGAAGGGGAAACGGGTTTAATCTCCCCTCCGACACTCTACCCACTTCTGGCTCCTAGTAACAATCTGCTGCTTATTCCACCTTGGCTTTATTCCCTATCGTAACAGGGACGAGAATGCGGGGGCGTATCTATCTACGGGGTTAAGATTTCCAAGAATGTCTGGGTAACAAAGGGTTGTGTCCGAACCACAAGTTGATCGACTCTGTGGTTTTGAAGTTTCCATGGCAACCGACGGATGCAGGACCGGAACGCCAAGATGAGCCGAATGCCTGTTCTGCAGGGTGGATGCTTGGTTGATTGCGACTCTTCTATTCACAGGTGTGGTTCCATTTGTTCATTATCGGATTAATTATAGTCACATAGTGTAGTAGATAGTAAAGATACTGATGAAAATTGCTTTAAACTTCGTTTAGATTAGAATATTTTAACGAAAAAACGCTAAACTTAAACAGGTTTGTATTATAGATTTTAAGAAAACGAGATGACATTCTCCTTCTTTCAAGCTTGTATCAATATAATTCATATTTTGTTTTTAACTTTCTTTTTCCAATTTAATAAATTCTTGTTTATTTATTTAGTAAATTTAATGATGATAATCCAAGTTTCTATACGGATGAGAGAATTTTCATTACGTTATGAGATTAAATTCAAATAAATAAATAAATACATATATTTTTCTTAGTTAGCTATTAAAAATTCATTTTATATAGTTGTATTTTGTTAAAAATATGTTATTTTCAGTTGAAATTTCCTATGTTTACAGAGATTGTCGCCTTAGAAAGATCAAATCTGAATAATTTTATTAATATGATGGAAGCCTTATTGCTGTAAATAATAAATGAAGCTAGTGCAGTGGGCTCATTTGGAGACTTCGGTTCAATAAGTGCTGGCTCCCTCTTGTGAGAAAAATCTGTAAGATGGAGGAGAGTCCGAAGATGTTTTTTCCCTTTTCCCCCTTCTTCCGACGTTTTAAACTTCAGCACCTCGCCCATTTTCGCCATTTTAAAAGTTTAAAATATTCTAGTCTAACCCGAAACTAATCAGATTAATTTCAAATAATAAAAGCTTTTTGCAGAAAATCGATGGAAGCTTTAAAAAAATAATAAAAACCTTTTAACGATTTTTGAATAGTCTCTAGTTTGATTTATTCGCCAAAAAAGTCAAATTATTGTATAATACGAGCGACGAAAAGTGCACTGTTTAGTTAGTTTACGTTTATCCTCTTTCTCTCTTTTTTTATTAATGTAATTTAGATAGAGTGGATATCAAATATTAAAAAGGATAGACTTTTTAAAAGTATTAAAAATGGATATTTTAATGACGTTTCTATTTATGACGCGAGGGGGTAGTTTGGGCTTTTTTATATATATTTTTTTCGTCTTTCATCTCTGACAAATGACTAAAGCTCGGTTCATAAAAATCTTTTCTTCAGAATCCACCAGGTAATTGCCTTATTGGATGGAGGGGATGATCTCATCTGTGTGCAGGTATCGAGTGAGTAGAAGCAAACATATCCAATGGTTCGAATTATGGCCATACAGTGAGTGGTTCAGTATCCTTAATGTTTCGAACTACGGTTGCAGAAACTTAGGAATAGAACAGTTACCCGTTTTTATTACATGACGGTTCCAACGATAAAAGTGACAGCAGTTCCTGCGTTGAAATCCCTGCAGTTAGTTCTCTGATAGGCAACGATTATTGTCTAGAAATCTATTCAATCTTTACTGTTTTTACCGAATTATATTTTATATCTTTCTATATGATATATATATATAAATATATTTTATTATTACAGTCATTTTACGTATTGGATTGCTTAATTTTCGCCGTTTCTAGCTCGAAAGAAAAAAGGATAAATTATTTTTTATCCTCCCTCTTTATCCATTTTTTAAGAAATAATTACGATCTCATCTGCCTAACAATAAATTCGCAAATTAAACAAAACATTTTCTTCCTGACCAGATAAAAAGACTACTACTTATTTCGTCATAATCCTCTGCCACTATTTTTTTATAACTACCTCTTCATTGCCTAACCTTGTACTTATAGTGCCTCTTGACAAATTGCCAATTGATGAAATTGGCCAGGGAGCAGAGATGCCAATTATGTTTTATGGGTTCCTGACTACGACCACTTTTCGTCTTTTGATTTCAAACTTCTTTAATGATGTCCGGAAGGTTAGTGGGAATCACCAACACCCAAAATGACAATGTCAACAAATACATCTTATTTCTATCATAATTGTGTGTATTTATATAATATATAGACAGATATAACGGTGTATATGTTTATTTTTAATCCAATTTTTCATCTCGTTCATTAGTAAACTGTTTTATTAATCAAAATCGGCTGATAAACTGTGTGTAATTTACTGATAAAACGGACCAGATGGTTATCTTTAAATTCATTTTAATAATAGAATATTTTTAAATTTACAAGAAAATATCTTGAGATATTTTTATAGATAGCTAGAAGAGTACGAACTAACATTACACAGATATAGAAGGTCCCTGGGCAGTGTAACCTGGCCACACCTTCAGCTTGCACTTCAACGTATAGACGTTTTGTCACTGTTGGTTGTAAATTATGTCATAAGCTAAACCTTCCTATTTTACACTCAGCTTGCCCGTTACTGGAAACCTGCAGGGAGAAAGAGAAAACGTAAGATTTACAACAGCTATACCTAAAAGACTGACAACAGGGAATGGAATATCTCAAAACAACGGGGAAGATTTTCTTAGAATCGATTCTTAGATAGTTTTAACAACTTTCGGGCGCCGTATCGAAAGCATTTATTTTAAACACTCTCCAACTAAAATAACTTTGTTGTCGTTTTAAAATTCCTTCAATTTAGCGTTATAAGCGGGGGAAAAATAATAATAAAAAGAAAAAAGAAAAGTTTTGTTCCTTGGTTAGAGGAGTAATGTTTAAACTTTAACTATCGATAGGGCAAACAAACATTTTGTTTAGTTTAAAAAGCCGAGTTTAGCAGATTGCACCGTCTAAAGCAGGGTAGGTCCAATCACCAGAAAAGAACCCACAAATCATTAAAGATAATGATCCAAGTGGAGAAATAGCACTGTTCCAGACATTCTTTGTTGATGTTTTCGACCGAAGGATTACGCGTTTCTATTTAAGGAGAAAGAGAAGAGAAAGTCAAGAAAAGAAAAAAAAATTCGATATTTTCCTCCACTAATCATTTTTAATATTTATAATAATTTTTCCACTTTTGTAACAGATTAATGGAGCCATTAAGCGGGGGATTTGGCGGAGAGAAAAAAGTAAAAGGCGGTAAGATAAGAGAAAAATCTCATAGAGGAGCGTCAGCTTAAATCCTTATTGAGAAAGCTGAATGAACATGGCGGTGGTTCCCTTAAGAGGACCTTCGGGTGGCTTTAGTAAGTATTGAGTCCTCACCACCATATGTTGCTATTTCACACTTGATTAACACTAAAACCTGACTGAAATACAGACAGAAGCGTCACAATACACGCTCGCCGGCGATATTTTTTACAACTGCACAACAAAGCTAGTGGAAAAAATTACTAGAGCAGCCGACATAGAAGGTACAATAGCATCGATGTACGGTAGATCCGAGAAAGGAAGGATGTTTTGTTTAACAAACAGTCGGAGAGATAATCCGTTCAGCTCGGAAGACTTCCAATACCAGTCGATATCTGCGATAGGATGGAAAATCCTCAAAAGATGACCGTTTCTACATCCCACAAATGAGAAGTGTAGCATTTCCCATTTGCCTTCCCTACATCTGTCAGTTAACAATGAACCTTTCAGCATATTCAATATTATTGCATTCTACTTGTTCCGAATACGGTAAATATGTTGCTTAAGATCCAGCTGCCCATCCCATACATACTTAATTCGCTATTTAAATTATGACCCAAGGAACTTATACGAGTATAAATAGCAAAAACACAAAAGGACTTTGTAAAGCAACGTAAACGAGTCTCTTTTCTGGTAAAATAAGTTATTTAGACATTTCTATTCTGATAGGAGAGGACGAGTTTGTCAATTGCTAGTTTACTTGTCAAAGGACAAAGAAGGCGAGTTTAAGGAGAAGTAAGGAACGTTCCATTCAATGTATTTATCCAAACTGTTTTGTTCATCTCGAGTAAACACGCACTAACCCTTTAGTGAGCCATAAAGCAATTGCCCAGTTGCTCTTCAAAAATAAAAACAACTTTCTTTTCTTTGACCATTTCACCTTAATTGAGACGAAAAACTGTAATAAATCGTGTAGAACAACGCTAATTTATCAGATATATAAGAAGGCCTTCAGGCCATTTGCAGCCGCCATCGACCAAATAAATAAAGATATCGACTGATTAAGAACAGAAAGAAGCAAAATTGCTGTTTATCAATCTACAGTAATTAACTTTGCCTCTACAGACAACAACTCCCTCTGCTGTTTAACTCAAGAACTAATTCGGTAGAGCAACTTCTACTTTTAGTCTAAGGGATTTATTAAATTGAATAGGAATAATACGGTCGAGTTTATAAAAGTCATGTTTTTTAATTAAAAAAAATATATAAGAGGGAGGAAGAGGTCAAAGTAAAAATAAAGGTGAAAAAATTTGTTATTATATGAGTTTTGTTAGTTCTTAGTTGACATTGATAAATGTTTCAATTTACTGAACTCACTAATCAAGATTGAAAAAAGGGACAGATCAAATTAGAAATACTTCAACGAATCCCCAAAGACTGTACAATTTTTCTTTGATATCTGTACCACACTAAACGTTTTTATCTGTTGGATTCTTTTTTCACTTCTATCTCTCTCTCTCTCTCTCTCTCTCTCTCTCTCGCTCCTCCTTTCGATATTTTCCTTGCAAATAAATTAGAATGTCTTACGACAGTTTTTACATTTCTTTGTCAAATAAGTTATGTTCTTAAGTTTTGGTTAGATTTGCGCCTAATTTTCTGACTAATAGCCGAAGGAAAGGAAAGAAAGAAAGAAAAAAAAAAATCTCGCCTTTTATTAATTTAATTCCTATCAAAATGTATGGAGACAAGAGAGATACATCTTTGTAACCAACTCGTTCGATATTCTACATTTATACAATTTATTGACATAGTTAAATTAAACAAAGTTTTAATAAAGCCTAGCTCGAGAAATATTTATTTATTTTATTTTTTATTTTCATTTAATTCCGATCAAAATTCAACGGAAGATGCATTTCAATTCCGTTTTAAAGTAACTCGTTTCGATGTTTACAGTCGTGTACTTACTCTATCGATGTTTATATTTAAATTAAACTCGTTGATAGTTAGTCTACTCTCAGAAACGTTTATACATTTTTTTTCCCTTCTCTTTTTTTTTTTTTTTTTTAAAGAAGGAACAGACAGTGAGCATTGCCGGCGGTGTTAATTAAAAAAATTTCAGACCATAGACTAACTACATAGTTTTTTTTTTTTTTTTTAAAGAAGAATTAAAATAGTAGAGGCTATATCGAAGTATTAAGCATCCATAAAATTCCAGCTACTAACTTAATTTCTATAAAACTCCAGGAATTTATTAAATATCTACAATACAGTAAACTGTTCAGTAGCTATTCAGTAAACAGTTGTTCTAATAGATAACGTGTTAAATATATTTTATCGTTTTTAATATTAATTTTAAAGCTTTTTATGAGGGGGGAAAAAGTGTTTAAAAATAAAATATTTCTCTTTAATATTATAATTTATATATTAAATAAACAAGAATGCTTTACATGTGTACAGTTAAATGCTTACTACGACTAGTTTATAGATAAAATGTAATGTAAAACTATATTTAGCCTTAAGTTCTAACTTTATTTACGGAATTTTTATGCTATAAAACTGTCTAAATCTTTATAATTAATTATCCTAAAGAATTTCGAATTGCTTAATTTAATTTTATATAGGACTTAAAATGAATTCGGAGTAGTTTTTTTTTTCCTTTTCCTCGTTACAATACGCAGTGACGAATTGTAATAGACGCAGGCCTCCAAGCAGTTAAAATTAATACTGAACAAGGCCTAAATTTAGTCATAGATCTTCGTCCCGGTGCCAACTTTGTTTATGCTTTTTTCTTTTTGTAGACAAGGAATGTTTAAATAGATCTGGTTATTATTGTGACTAATGTCTGTAACAAAAATCACTATTGTTGCGCGTGCAACTTTGTATTTAAATTCATTAGACTACGTCACAAATATTCACCCCACTCGTCAATGTATTATAAATTAGTAAGTTCATAAAAACAAATGAGTGTGTGAAGAATTAAAATTAATACTTCGTTCTGCTTCTGGCTTTGTTTATATATTTCCGTAAAAAATAATACATATATATATATTTAAATGTTAATGCACGCTCGACCTATAATTAGCATTAATTATTGGCTGTCATGCGTTTCGCAGAAAGAATATTGCAATCTTGTTAATTAGATTAATAAATAAAAAGAAATGCAACGAGTTTTTCTGCAAGATATTGTCAGTAAACGCATATTTACGAGACAGAATGCTTATAAATCGAGAGGATGTGGGAATAAAATGCCAATTTTTTATGTTAATTATGGTTTTAAATTTTGAAATCGTTTAGAGCCAATAGCCAGAACGCAGCTTGACGCATGATCCAGTAGAAATGACTTAAAATCCTATAATTTCTTCCAATTTCTGCATAGTAAAATCTCGAAGCGTAATGCAACTGGCCAAAAAGGGGTTAAGATATGCAAAGTAAATACGCAGTTTTCCCATTTTCCGGTAATATCTACGTCTCTCGGATTCTAATATCATTAATTGTCTTGGGTAAGAGCGGACGGAGGGTAGAAGAAAAAAAAAACTATAAATCAATTTTTCTTGGAAAAACTTCCAACTACACCTTTCTTCCCATTTCTGAATGGCAACATTAAAGTATTATATAGAGTTTTCTTTTTTCCTCTTCGTTCGGTTATTCTCTTCCCTCGCAATTTGCTACAGGATGACGGCGACAATTTGCATAGAGCCCACCAGCTGGGGTCATCTCTGTAATGCAACCTGGTAAATATGCAAAGTTTATTCATCTATCTAAGCTAGAACGGAGGGTTGAAAGTATACCTAGCTCCATAGTGATATCAAGAAATCCAATTACTAAAGAGACTCCGTCTAATACTCAGTATTACGATAATCGGTGAACCCGACTGAGATATGAATATAGGAACAGGAGGACAGAACGAATGATTTGTTGACGCCCCAGCTATCAATATATGCACACGGTCTAGCAAAATGCTTCTCTATCCTCTTGTGACTGGCTTGTTTTTCTTATTTTTTTCTGCTCTTCTCCTTCTTTCTTGCCTTTTCATTCGCGCCACACCTTCTTGATTGGATCTCGACAATGTCGGAAGCACACAACGGCTTCCCACCAATCCGACCGATTGGGACAACTGTCATAAAGAGATACGGGGTGCCACGGTGTCACGCATTGAAAAATTAGTCCATTTATGGCCAACCCTGGGAGGAGCATTGTCCACGGGTCGTACAATAGAAGACGGGGAGGACACTCTAATGGTAGAGATGGGCAAAATTAATCAGCACAACACCCACCTGCTCCGAATATCTTGTTGTCCAGGAACAGCAGGCGTTGAAAAGCTGCCAAGTTTGCCATTCATTCGCTTCTGAATGACGACA